ATGTGTGTGTGTGTGTGTGTGTGTGTGTGTGTGTGTGTGTGTGTGTGTGTGTGTGTGTGTAGTCCTGGAGAGTTTCTCTTCTTCTTTCATTAGCATGAACCTGTTATATGCCTGATGTGAGTCACACTGAAGGGTCACATGCCTTCCTGAGGTCACCACAGGCCTGGGAATGTCTGACAGAGTAACTTTGTGTGTGTGTAGTCCTGGAGAGTTTCTCTTCTTCTTTCATTAGCATGAACCTGTTATATGCCTGATGTGAGTCACACTGAAGGGTCACATGCCTTCCTGAGGTCACCACAGGCCTGGGAATGTCTGACAGAGTAACTTTGCTGGAGTAAACTCCTAGAAAGGACTAGGAAGCCTGTTAGGTGAAATATATGGTAAACATTGTTCAGCTCTTCTGGGATTTGAGGAAGAGACACCACAGTGAACATACACCTTTCCTAAAGGAAGTTCTCAGGGATTTGGAAGTGTCCTCTCACCTGTCATCATCAGCTCCAGTGTGTCACTGCGCTGTGACCACCCACCGAAGTTGTAACAGTAACAGCGATATTGCCCTGCATTATGCTTTCCCATGGATGCAATGAAGAACATGGCCTTGTTACCAGGCTCCTTTGGAGTTTTTCTGAGCCAGGAAAATGGGTTTCCTTCTTTATACAGGAAATATGTGTTGGTTTCCATGGTTCCCTCACACCAAATAGTAACAGAATTCCCTGACTGGATCACAGAACCTGGCTCAGACCACAAGGTGGGTTTCTGGAGGTTCCCTGAAAGGAAATAGGTGAGTAAGATAGGTGAGACTTTGCTCAGTTTTACAGTAAAGATAAACTATACTGTGCTGACTCTTGATTTTACTCCTGAATAGCCAAAGAACTGGTAATGTCATGGCAAGACCCATCACTCACCTGAACATCCCAGGTATCATTCTCATTATCCCATACCCCTCCACACAAACAAAATTTACTGAATGATAACAATCACAGTCTTCATACTGTGTCTACTGGCTCAGGAGCAATGGGTCCTCAGACACATTGCATACTAGGGCCTACACTGGGAACCTGTGTCAAGTGCAATGTTATTTCACAGAGACTCTCCAGCTCCCTCACCTGAGACGAGGAACTCCAATGGGTCACTGGCTTCTGACCACATCTGAGGATTATCTGTATAATAGCCATAGCATCTGAATCTCCAAATTGGTGTAGAAGTTATTGGACCCACTTGGAACCAGGCTAGAGACATCATAGAGTATGGGTATTGTAAGCCATAGGATCTGTAGATTTTCTGATCATCGTTTCTTAAAATGAACCAGTTAAATATCTGATTTGAGGTACATGAGATGTTCACAAACACTCCTAAGTTTACAACAGGACTTTGTAGGACAGAAATGGTGGGTTTTTTGTAGACTCCTAGGAAAGATATATATGAAGTATTAAACCAGCATAAACAAACAATGTTGTCCTCCATAGCTGGCCTGTGGTAAGAGGTTCTGTTAGATCAGTATTTCCTTGACAATAACAACTGGATCTGAACTCCTGAGAGCACTCTTACCTGTAACCACCAGCTCCAGGGTGTCACTGGGTTCTGACCACCCAGCAGAGGTGTAAGAGTAACAGGAATATCGCCCTGCATTCAGATGTGTCACAGATGGGATGGTGAGTTTTGCTTTATTGTGGTCCATTTGGAACTGTCTGTCCCAGAATTCTAGGCTTCCCTCTCTATGTAGCATATATGTTTGGGTTTTGCGGTCCCCCTTACACCAGATGGTCACAGGGCTCCCTGAGGTTATCATGGAACCTGGATGAGCCCAGAGTACAGGTTTGGGAAGGGGCCCTGTAAGGAAGTAGAACATGAGGTATGTCTGTCAGGAAAGTTGCTCAAAGAAGGTCACACTTGCAAATGACACTTAAGCTGATCTACAATAGCACAGGGACATAGAATGCCTCCACATTTCCCAAAACTCTTGGGTTCGACTGTTATTATCAACCCTGATTGCTGGACATTACATCCAGCTGTATCACACATTGGGTTCAGTATCCCTGGCTCTCAATCATCCATTACACATCACATCCTTCTCTGGAATCCTGTATCAGATGTGAGATCATTCGAGGGAAAGCAATGGCTTCCTTACCTGAGACCAGGAGTTCTAAATGGTTACTGGGCTTTGACCACATCTGGGAGTTACTCAAGTAATATCCATAGCATCTGAACCTCCACCTTTGGATGGAGGTCACAGGACCCACTGTGAAAAGGGCTCTCCATAGTGTAGGGTATGTTTGCCATGAGGGCACCACAGTGGAGAATTTCTCATCTTCCTTCAGTAGAATAAACATATCATATGTAACTTGTGATGCACACTGAAGGGTCACATTTCCCCCTGAAGTCACAACATAGCTGGGAAGGGCAGACAGTGTGACTTCGCCCTGGATAACCCCTAAGAGAGATAAGAAAGCCTGTTAAGTGAACTCACATGGGAAGCATTGTTACCCTCTTCTCAGATTTAAGAAAGGGAGTCCCCAATGATCTTCTTCCTTGAAGACGATCCTGCAGTATAGGTAAAGTCTTCTAACCTGTCACCACCAGTTCCATGATGTCACTTTGTAGAAACATGTTAGTTGGGCTTTTACAGGAACACCAGTATTGACCTGCATGATTCCATTGAATCGGTGAGATAGAGAACTTGGCTTTGTTTTCAGTTTCTAGAAGTGTTGTTGGTATCAGGTAATCTTGACTTCCTTCTTTGTGGAGACGGTATTCTTTGGCATCTAAGGATCCTTCACAGAAGATGGTCACCTGTTGCCCAACAGTTACCACATTGCTTGGCACCACCTTGATTGTGGGTTTAGAGAAGGCCCCTGAAAATATCAGCAGCTGTGTTCAAGGATATATCCTTCAGATACCAGTGGTCAGACCAAGTATGTTTCAGGCATCCCCAGCATCAGCCCATACCTACTGTTCTCGATCTTCTTCTTTCAGGGGTGACCTGTAGTCCCTATCAAATATGTTTAATATGGAACAGCTAAGAAGACACTCACCTGACAGTACTGGGTTCCCAGATTCCAGGATCAATCCTGAAAGAGAGATACGATACCTGTGAGTGTTTGCACTGGAACCTGACCATGTCTTCCACTTTCAGATGACTTCTGAGCTGATGAGACATCCTGATGTGCCACAGAATGGTTGTGAGGTAGATTTCCTCTCAGACAAGAATTCTCCCTCTCAATCTTTACATCTCACCAAGATACAGCAGGGCTGTGAGAGTGGGGGTCATGGCATCTTCTAGTTGCTACAAGTTTGCAGAGTTTATCTTCTTGCCAAATGAACAGACAGGAAGTGTATAGCCTACACAGGCTGATTTCTGCTTTGTGTCATGAGGCTGTCATATTATCAGGCTCTGAGGAAGAGGAACTCATCTGGAGAATCTGGCTATTTTTTTCACAGATCTGTAGTGGGTTGGACTGTGGAATATGTGGTTTCTGACTCCGTGGTTCTTTAGTTTTGTTTTCTGAGATAGAACCACTTGAATCTCATACAGTTCTAAAACTCATCCTATTCCCTCAGATGCCTCAATGCTGGCACTAGAATACAAATCTGATTATGATCCCTTCATGCACAACATCTCGAGTGCACCCATCCATATCTGCCTGAATGGTCCCGGTCAAAGGAGCTAGGATCTAACACAAAATAAACCTGGTTGTTTCCTGAGTCTACACCTTCACCTATGAAAGCTCAGAGCTGGATGATCTTTTTCTCTCAGACCATCTTCTTAGTTATTATTCATTCCTTCGACCAGACCAAACCCTTGAGATGCTTTGGGGATATTATATGAACTTTTCCTGGGGATATATAAACAATGTCTACTCACAAGATAAGACAGCAGTGACAGAAAACTTCATTTCTGTCAAGACTCTGCACAAATACAGCTGGTGAACCAATGGGTTATATTAGGGTTCATTAGAAATGTGTGATCAACTTTTCAGGTTTTCTGATTTTTTTGAGACAGAGTCTTACTATATAGCTCAGGTCGGCCTGACTCTCACTATGTAGACCAAAATACCTTGAACTCAGAAAGGTATACCAACCAGAACAATATGCCCCACTGTACAAAGAAACATTGCCAATGTTCAGTGTTTATATCACTGCAAAAAAAAAAAAAAAAAAAAAAGCTTTACTCTTCATATGTTATCTGGCTACTATTCCATAGGGAGAGCAATGGCTCATAAGTCTCTACACCATGAAGGAATACACATGGGACCAACCTTGTGTAGGTCATCTGTGTGTCATCACAGTTACTTAGACATCAAAGGGCAAAAGTCATGCCATGCCTGGAGCCCAGTGTCCTACAGCATGGGAAGATGCAGGTTGAAGTTTCAGGGAGGATGCATAGTAGAAGAGACACTCTGATTTTTCAGTTGTCATTGTTGAACACAGAGGAAACTTGAAGAGATACATAGAAGGAAATATGTATGTACATGAGTCTTAATTTGACTCCACTCTGTTGAAAAATCTGCTATAGATTCATTGTCCTTTTTCTAGCCAGGTATGTCATTTCTGTAGGGATAATCTTTTCAATGCCCTTACCTCTTTGGTATTCCTATTTTATTGTTCAGAATTCTTCTGAGTTTGTGAAGGGTAATTTTGAGTTAATGCTTATACATGCCCAAATACCCATTCTAGCTTAAACATTGTTAGTATCTTAACTATGATCCTCAGCATCATCCTGATTGTCTGCTAGCAGTCTTGTTTTTCACCACGGTTATGGGTTCAGAATCCTTGTGACTATGAGTTGCACAGGATTCATTAACTTTCTGACTTTTTAGAACACAGTTGGGGTACAAGAGGGTTTTAGTCATGTAAATGTTACAAGTAAATGGACTCTGTCTGCTCACATACAGATGATTCATACATTAAGTCTGAATTGTAAAGAGCAGCAAAATTATGGGCTGAAAAACAGAACTGAAAATTAAACTTTCCAAATGTGGAATGATCTGGGTTCAAGAAAAGAAGGCTAACACTGTGTAGTCCCTGGACATGTCATGAAGGATCACTTCAGGGAGACTACCTCCACCATGTTGGGTGAGATAGGGTCAGAGCTCCTTCTTAGTATGTGCTAAGTAAGTACATGCCCTGTGCTCTTTTTGCAGATGGGTATTGTGATAGTTCATCTTACTGTCTGCCATCCACAATGACACTAAAATCGACTACTTCCTACTTTCACCCACTGGCATCTGTATCATGTGTAGATATCAGGTTTAGGTTAGAAGTCACACTGTATCCATTCCATGAAACCCATACAGATAATTCAAGTCTTTATCCCCCTCTCAAAGTGGACTGATTGGCAACAGAAATGTTGATCTCAGGCTATGTTCTCCCCTTCTGTATGTATCAGTTCACTTTCTGTAACGTAGTATTGACCCTCTGTCATTATAAAGAAATCTGTTTTTTGCATTTGGTCTTTTGGCTATTATGTGACAGAAGGAATTTCTTTTCTCGGCCAATCTATTTGAAGTTCTGTAGGCCTCTTGTATGTTTATGGGCATCACTTTCTTTAGATTAGGGAATTTTTTTTCTATAATTTTGCTGAAGATGTTTACTGGCCCTTTAAGTTGGGAATCTTTACTCTCTTCTATATCTATTATCCTTAGGTTTGGTCTTATTGTGTCCTTGATTTCCTGGATGTTTTGGGTTAGGAGCTTTTTGTATTTTGCATTTTCTTTGACTGTTGTGTCAATTTTTTCCTACGGTATCTTCTGAACCTGATATTCTCCCATGCCATTTACATGTCATTATATATTTGAAGATTGGCATTAGGGTTATGTGTCTCTATAGAAATTATCAACCATACATGGTTTTGGAAAAGAATAGAAGACTATATTCTTTGTTCAAACAAGATCAGAAATGAAATATTTTTGCTATGAATTTTTGTGATTCCTATGTAGAGGATATCTTATTTATTATCTAGCATCTTTGTTTGTAATATAGACAAATTCAAAGCATTTATTAAAAATATTACAATTTTGATTTTGTAATGAAAATATACAGTATACATTTCAATATGAAACTAAAGAAATGTTTAGAGATATGCTTCAAATTTATGACAAACCATTTTACCTGAAAGAAATAAAAATAACTTCAAAAAATGAAAAAAAAAACTGGTGACATTAGCTGATAATTTTCAAAGATGTAAGTCTAACCTCCAGCAACCACACCTGTGAATTCTCTGGTAAGGATGCTGTTTGCTGTGACACTGGATGCTAGTGAAAAGAAATAGCTGACCTAATGAGAGTTGGTCCCTCTCCTGCTGGCCTGAATTATGGTTTAGTTGCTTGTTATTTTGTTCTTTTAACTTCCTCATTGCTAGACAAAACATCACCTCCTCCTCCTCAACACTCTGTATCTAAATGTCATCATTTCTCCTTCCTCAATCTTTCTCTCCTGGCCACAGCTCTTTATCTGACACTGCAGTTTTTTCCTCAATGTTCCAGGCACTCATGCTCACTGCAGGAATGTCACTATCTTCCATTTAAGACAGAAGAGTAACACTTAGCACTATACCACCTCAAGCAAGGCATAATCTCCTTGCTCTTTCTCTTGGTGTAGGATGATGTTAATGTCTTTACTTGTAGGGTGACTATGGAAACCCAAAATTCTGATGACATGGTTAAGTTTAGAAACCTGGGTCCAAATCCTCATAGTAAAAATTAATCCATAGAGTGGGTGAACAAAAACTAGTGATCAATGCAAAAGCTGTATATAAATCTGCTATTTTATAATCTAATACAAGCAGAATTTTAAAGAGTTTTAATAAAGGCACCCTGCATTGACAGATAACCCCCAGCAGCAACAGGTTATTAAATGGAAGTTTCAGAGCCATGAGTGGGACACTACCCTGAGTTGTTATAATTATCCCCACAAAAACTATTTTTGATCTCCTATCAAATACCACCCCATGCTGAAAATACCACACATTTTGAATGTAAAACATGAAGAAATCAAACTGAAAATGAGCTGACATTTTCCTTTTCAAAGCTTCATAATCTCAAATACATTGTGTAGGCTGTTAAGAAAGGAAAGACATCTATGGTCCAACCTAACCCTATATCTTATAATGTCTACGTGCAAGGCATCTACCTACTTGCACATTAGTAGCATGATCTTTAAGGGAAGAGTTAATTGCTTTTTTATCATATACAATGTCTGTTTCAAAGGAGAGCATTATAATGTACATTGGGTCAAAAATTCAGTGCTGGAAATGGGAGCCTACATAATTTTCCTCTAAGAGTCTCTGCCCAGCAGTGAATGGAAGCATTTGCAGAGACCCACAAGTAAACATTAGATGGAGCTTGGGAAGTCTTGTGGAAGAGTTGATGGAAGGATTAATGGACCCAAAAGGCACAGGAACTCTACAGGAAGACCAGCAAATTCAACTAACCTGGACCCTTGAGGGTTCCCAGAGAGTGATCCACCAACAAAAGAGCAAGCATGGGCTGGAACTTGGCTCCACAGACTGCACATATGTAGCAGATGGGCAGCTTAGTCTTCATGTTGATTCCCCAACAGCTAGAGTGAGGCTGTCCCTGAATCTGCTGTCTGCCTTTGGATCCCATTCCCCTAACAGGGGAGACTTGGCTGGCCTTAGGGAGAGAGGACATGCCTAGTCCTGCAGTAACTTGATATGCCTGGGGTGATACCCAAAAAGGGGTTGAGAGTGTTCACATTGACTTTAACAAAGCAGCTGAGGAGAAGGGAAGGGGAAAAATGTGGGGAGGATCTGTTTAACTGAGTACTGGGAGAAGAGGGGGGCTGATATTTGGATGTGAAGTTAATTAATTAATTAATTAATTAAAATGAAAAAGAGAGATCACCAGCTTGTCTGCTCCTCTGAAGTCAACACAGTCTGAAGGGCTCTCAGGAGGTCCGCTTCACTCACAGCAACCAGTAAGGGACCCTCCCAAATAGCCACAGCCACTGGACATCCCAAAGAGCCCAGTCATCTCTGGACTCATTTCCCAAAGCCCCCATCCCCCGAATTCCACTCCCTTTCTAGCTTGTACCTTCTGCTAGGGCAGTT